ACTTTTATTTATTTAAGTTCTGTTAAATGAAAAATTAATAGTAGTTGGGCTAAGATTAGAGTTATAATTTGTCTTAAATGAATTACAACACATGATTCTAATGTATCATTTATTTGAGTAGCTATGAATAAAAGTCATTTTTTAGATGGAATTTTTAGCGAAATCAACAGAACTTTAAATAGTTTCATAGAAATTAAAGTTCCGTAATACCTTTACTTGAAAATTTGCAAGGGAAAAAGTTCCAGTTACAAAAGAACTGAAAAACTACTGACAATAAAATTTTCAGTGATAACAAAACTTTTAAAAATAAAAGTTTTTTTCCGTTTCAAGGCCTGGTATTTACTTTACATCTGCCTTATAAGATGAATCTGAAAATAAGTCTGTTTAGCCCATTATTACAATAACCAAAAAATATATAGCATTTCCAAGTCAATTTCAACCTTTTCAAAGTTAAATTCAACCCTTTCTATTTCAAATTCAACCTTTTTATATTCATTTAATTTATTTTATTTTTTGATATATATGGGTCAGTTATTGTATGCATAGTTTTTGAAAATAATCTTCATTTTAAGATTACACCACTGCGTTTCAGTTATTCAATTTTTCAGATTTATTCGATATAATGGTCTACTTATATGTTATTAGAGACATAATTTTTGAAAATAATCTCCATTTTAAGATTAGGCCACTGCATTACGACTTATATGAGTTTTTCAGATTTCATGGATTTAAAGGTCTATTCATTCATATGTTTTCAGTCATAGTTTTTGAAAATAATTTCAATTTCAAGATTACGCAACTGTTTCGATTTGTTTAAATTTTTTGGATTTATTCGATATAAGGGTCTACTTATATTTCATGTCAGACATTGTTTTTGAAAATAATCTCCATGTGAAGATTACGCCACTGTGTTCAATTTGATTAAGTTTTTCGGACTTATTCGATATAAGGGTCTACTTATATGTTATCGGAGAGGTAGTTTTTTTAAATAATATCCATTTCAAAATTACTCCACTGTGTTTTGATTTGTTAAAGTTTTTTGGATTTATTTGATATAAGATTCTACTTATATGTTATCGGATACGTAGTTTTTGAAAATAATCTCCATTGTCAGATTACGTCAATGTGTTTCGATTTATTAAAGTTTTGCAGATTTCTTTGATATAAGGGTATATATATATATATATATATATATATATATATATATATATATATATATTTTTTTTTTTTTTTTTTTTCATATGCCTTGATCATCTTGAGCTCTTTTGGCCATGGGATGTCTAGCAGCCCAGTAAATTTTACCTTCAGTCCTGGCTTTGGTTCTAATGTTTTGAAGTCTGGAACAAGTAACTAGATGAAGAGCTGTCACGGATCCTTCTCGACACAGTGGGAATGTTGTTGATTCGACGACTCCAATATGGTGGAAATGGCTTTGGAGATAGTCATATCCGGTTTTCATCCTAAACTGCACAACATTTTAGGGTCTCACTTCTAGGGAGATCCACTGGCACTCTTCCATTTTCTTTTAGAAAATGAAGCCCATTGCTTCTCCTTCAACTCCAACCGCCATTTCTGTTCCAATTCTCTAATGATTAATGTTTTGATTAGCTTTTTTTCCATCAAAAATGGGTTTAGCATATCTGGCTGATCTTTCCCAGCACCTTCTTTTGTTAATTGGTCAGCTTTTTCATTACCTGACAACCCACAGTGTCCTGGTATCCACTGTAAAACAACATCTGTGCCTTCTAAAACTAGCTCCTCAAACAATACCTGGCACATATTAATTTGATTAGTGAAACTGCAGGAAGAATCTGAAATGGCAATTATTACAGCCTTGAAATCAATGAGGACCACAACTTTTTGCAGTTTAGACTTTTTTTATCAGTCCCAAGGTGAGAAAAACTGCTTTTTCTTTGCTATCAAAGTTATTTGCAATCTTTCCCAGATGCTCCCCCAGAGACATTTGGAAACCTTCTGCATTAACACCAGCTCTCCCATCCTTTCTTGTACTATTCGCAGAACCGTCTGTGTAAATATGTAACCATGTAACTCTCTCTTATGGTTTCAAGTGCTAAATTCCTTAGTTCTATCTTAGAGTAGCTGTGATTGGATGCAGGAGCTGTAAGTTGATTTGTGCTGACTTTGTAGAGCCCTGGTGGGGTAGTCATAAATTTTCTCTTGAAGAAATAACTAGTTTTTTAATTTATCTAATTGCATCCAATTGCTTCATGAATGTTATTTGGGCTTTAAGCCTTGTTACTGGTTTATATTCCTAACAGTAGTCAGTTTCCAAACAAATTAGTTTCTCACTCATTGTTAGCGCAGCTATCTCATTTCGTACCAGTGATCCTCTTACACCCAACACAGCTAACATCCACTCTAAGAGAATGTATTAGAAGAACAGAAGCAGTAAGAGGGCTGTTCAAAATAATTCGACTTCCAGAAGATTATCTCTCCTTCAAACAACTCCAACAGCACTCAATCTGCAGTACGCTGCGCCAAATCCCTATATTTCCATCAATCCCTATCCAGCTTGGTTTCGTCTCCCCTCCCGTTCCTCTTTCTGGCGCCAGCTCTGGCTCCTATTCTTCCCTTCTTTAATCCTCATTATTTTTTTCTTTTTCCATATTACTCCTGATGACGTTAAATCCATTCATAAATACTAACCAATGATTTTGGGCCAGATAACATCCCAGTTAAATTTATTGATCCTCACTTCCCTCCATTCTCTCTATCCTTTATCATATTTACAACTTTTCATTACAAATTTCCGCTTTCCCCAGCACCTGGAAAACTGCCCTTATTCGTCTATTGAAAAAAAAATCCAATGACCCCTAATGGTTTCTGTCCAATTTCCTTTTTCTCTAACCTTACTAAACTTCTAAAATGAGTAGTTCAATCCCAATTATCCCACCTTGTTTTTTGGATTTTCTGCCAGAAAATCCTCTGGAACCGGGACACGAACTCGTACTTTTTACCAATCTCAAAACTTGGTTATCTGGTTGCCGGGCAACTCGCAGCGCTGTTCACACAGATTAGCCCATTCGGCCATCCCCCCAACCTCCCTCCCTTATTATCCCACTATCTAATAATAATCCCCCATTCGAGCCTCAACCCTTGTCCAGAAGCGTTGCACAAGGTTCCTCCTTATCTTCCACCCTTTTTATCCTCCATCTGTATCAATGATCTTACTTCCTCTATTCTGCACTGTTAATACCACCGAGTAACAACGAATCAGCTATGCAGATTCTGTCAAGAGGAGAATGAAATAGTCTTTCACATCGTTTGTCAATGTGATAGATTCGAGATAGAAGGCTTAGACTGGAACTATTTGGGGAGAAAAGGATGGATCTCCCAAGTAGATATGAGACAGTCAATCTAACCAGCCTACTAAGATACGCGGAAGCGGCAAAAATAATGTTTTGAGAATAAACGAATAACTTAATTGGCGCACAATAGATCCTTCAGAGGTCGATGTGCTCTGAGCCAACATACAAAAAAAAAACCAATGTGGTTTTCAATGCGGAAAATCGACTGTTGAACAGATATTTAGCCTGAGAACCATATTGGAGAGGGAAAATGAATTTAAGCAGAAGACACTCCATCACTTCATCGATTTTAAGGCTGCATATGATAGTATTATTCGTGATGAGCTCTACTTAGTGTTGGAGGAATTTCATATCCCTCAGAAGCTCATACGTATAGTGAAGCTGACCAAGAGCGAGGTGTTGTGTTCAGTGTGTGTTGGTCAAGATCTAGCCGAGGGATTCCGAGCGACGAAGGTCCTATGGCAGGGTGATGCCCTCGCATGCCTTTTATTCAATGTTGCCCTGGAGAAGGCTGTGAGAGAATCAGGGATACAATATTTAGTAGGAGTACGCAACTACTGGCTTATGCGGACGATGTCGACATCATTGTGCGCTCTCAACAGGCTGTCAGGGAACAGGGAAGTTTTTTTAGCACTTGTAGGTCCTGCAAGGAAATTTGGGCTAGAGGTGACCCACGAGAAAACCAAGTACATGGTCACCGAAGAGATGCCTAGACGCAATGAGACGATGGCATTCGGAGACTACCAATTTGAGCATGTCACCGAATTTACTTATCAAGGCTCTATGGTAACACAGGACAACAACGCAGAAATGGAAATTCGAAGAAAGATAATCTCTACTAAAGGCTGGGAAAACAGCTTCCTGGCCACATTCTCTCCCGACTTATGTGCTAATATATGGCTCAGAAACTTGGACTATGACTAAATGTAATGAACAGAGGTTCGAACGGAAAATCCTTCAGGAGGATATTTGGAGGAGTGTTGGAGGATGTAACCTGGAGGAGATTCACAAACCAGGAAATTTATGGTCTATTTAGAGAGCCAAATGTTGTTCAGATGGTTAAACTGGGGCGACAGTGGTAGGTGGGGCATGTGGCGCACATGAGCAAAGAGAAGTTGCCTACAGGAAGCTTTTGATGGAGCCTCTCTATGGAATGAGAAGACGAGGAAGGCTGAAGCATAGATGGGTAGACGAAGTTGCAGCTGACGCTTGGAACATCTTTGGAGTGCGCAACTGGATGGCAGCTTCACGAAACCGTGAGGATGGGCGGAAGTTGGTGGTGGAGGCCCAGACCCGGATATGGGTCGTTGTGCCGAGATAATAATAAATACCAGATAAAATTAAAATATTGAAGATATTGTTATTTACCATACTAAAAAAATGTTTCGCCATCATTAAATCACAAACTATAACAAATCAAACATATGTAATGGAACACAACCAAAATTTCTACATGAGCACACATACTAACGTCTTCAATACAGTCAAATAGTTAAAACTAATGAAGACTTTTCTGACTTTAGAAAAACTTATAGTTATTTCCTGACTTTTACCAAACATATAAAATCCCTGACATATTCCCAAATTTCCTGACTGGTAGACATTTTTAAAAATATGTAAAAACTAAATAAAAATGTAATATAAATAAAGTGATATGTTGGCATAAATTACCTCTGATTGAACGCTGATTAACTGTTTTCTCTCATTTCCATTTAATTTACAATTATGTCGATTAAAATAGAACTCTGTATACCCTAAAAACTTTGCTAAAATAATTTTGACTTTAAGAGTCCATAAATGGGTATTTCTTTTATCTGGGCAAAGTGAGTCAACTGAAAAAAGTTAAAAAATAATATAAAAGAACTGAAAATAAATTATATACAAACAAATATTAGTCAGGTTAAATATTTTCAAAGAAATAATAATATTTCAATTATTAATGTAAAAAATAATTTTGTTTTGAGAGAGTCTAGCACAATTAACTACTTTCCAAAACTAAATCTTTTCTTCTATTGGTATACTATCTCGTATTTATTTCCTTTATATTTGACAGATTCTGTTCAGTAAATAATAATGTTCAGGTTATGTTCCGCCTGATAAGGATTAAAAGTATCTTCAATACACCACCGGATAAGACCAGAAGTGTCACATAGTTTTCTTGCACCTCTACTGAACATTATAGGCACACATCATAAACCAATTTGCCCAAACACAATAACAGTATTCTATATAGAAAATACAGCTATTCTCACTATAAACACAGATATCACTTAGGTTTTCTTTTCACTCCAACATTACTTGCAAAAATTAATGGAGTATTTTAACCATGAAAAATAAAACTCAATAACCACGGATCTCAATACATCACATTCCCTCTCAGACAGGGGATATATCATGTGTCCTTTAGTTTATATGAATAATAAACCCATTCAACAGGCCAACAGTTCATTACTTAGAGCTAACTTTCAGGAGAAGACTAAAACTACTATACACAATTCTTCACAAACTATTGGTAATCAGATAACTGAATACATACACAAACCTTTTAAGTTTCTTGTAGATTTATCTATCAACATTTTTTTGGACTGGCAACTAATGCAAATTTGTCAATCAAAAGCATTGAGACTACTAATACAATCACTCTGCAATATCAGCAACAAAACCTGGTATTCTAAAATCATATTCATTCTTTATACATAAGATTTCATGACAAATTCCATGGATATTATAATAAACTTATACAGAATATGGCATCAACTGACACACCTGAGCACACCAGAAATGGCTGGAAAGGAGACGGCTAAGATGTTTCCTTAGAATCCTGTAGAATTTCCATTGGAAGTTCATACAATTACCATTGGAAACCTTTGTAGAATACTTATTTGATCTCAATAATTTAGTGGGAAATTTTGTGATAATTAATATAATCATCATTAAAAAAATGAACAATATAATAATGCTATATCGTTTATAGCAATAATAATCACATAATAATAATAATAAACTTATATATATATATATATATATATATATATATATATATATATATTATGGAAATTATTATATATATTTATATATATAAATATATATATATGTATATATATAAGTTTATTATTATGTGTTTATTATTATTATTATGTGATTATTATTGCTATAAATGTATATATATATATATTATTCTTTTTTTTTATTATCGGTATATTTTAAAATATGTTAACAAAGCAAGTGAATATAATTCATATTTTTATATAAAGGTTTGAGGCAGTGAGATGAACTCTCTGTTCTCTGATGATTCAAATTTGCGGTGGGAAATGTGATAAAATCTTCACATAAAATGGAAGGGTGAACATGAATGAATCGTGAAATCATAGGATATGTTGAATGTAAACTAATATTTCAATAATGGGAATATAGGGCATGGTAGAATACTTGCCTACCTATTTCTAGGTCTTAGCTCAGACATTTAACTTTTTCTATATTCTTAATTGATTTTAGTTTACATATTATATTCATTCATGAAGATTAATTGTTATTGATTTTGATTTCATTTTTTGCCTTCGAAATATTAGGAGGAGAGTAAACAATATTCTCGCCCTCTCTCTATTTTTATTGGGAAGAAAGAGAGACTGTAAACATGTGTTACATTTAGAAGACGATTCTAAACTTTTGGCAAAGTTTGGGTACCCACTCGGGTTTCTTCTGTCCTCTTCTAATTAATACTATCCATTATTTCTCCTTTAGTTAATAATCCAATTCTTTCATATTTTATATCTAACCATTTTTTTATAACAGTTTACAATGTCAAATGTTTTATTATTTCAAATAAAAAATATTAAAGGAACTTTAGAGGAAGAAATTTTGAAAATTAGGCATTAAAGCTGTTTCAGGACACATCGATGAGAATAAGATCTACGTTTTATTAAAAACTTTTTAACATTACACTAATATAATGAATTTAATCAAAATCCTTAGAGCCATTTTTGAAGCCATTTTAAGAAGATTGTTAAAATCTGTAAAATGTATGATATAAAGTGGCACTTCTGTTAGTCGATTCTGATGAAAAAGTTTCTATACCATCCCAGGCATATACCTACAATAAATATGTAATTCAAGTTTAGTATGGCTATTGGTTTTTAAGATAGAATATTCACATACACACAGACCATTTTGTGGGACTTTGTTATTTGAACTCAGGGGACCCAAAAATGTGTATTTCCGTTGAAAATTCAGATTAAAAAATGTTCACAATCACAATACTTTTCCTTACTATATAGTACATTTATAGATAAGTTAAAATAAAAAATTAATGCCACACAGTGTATGAAAACATAAAAATGTATAAATAGACTAATAATGTAAACTTACCTAGTTCTTTGTAAGTATCTTTAGTCAGAGCAGAAAGAGCATATATCAGCCAATATTTTGCATAATGAATAAATAAAGGGCATTTTAACAAACAATAATCCAACCATACTTTAAAAAATAGCTCATTTGATTGGAATGAAATTTCTGGCTCATGTTCATTGACCTGTGATGGTTTAGTAAGTCTATTGTTCAACTGGGCCAATTTTTGTTCACAATCAGATCCATTAAATATTTGATCCTGCACATTTATAAAATTTAAACACTAAAAATCATAGTGACAACAAAAACTAACTTGAAATTAACATTTAGATAAAGAAAGAAGCAATATGTATTGTAATGCAGCAGATGCAAAATGCAAACTAAAATTATAACTGGTTAAAACTAGTGAGGAAGGGAATTTTGTAAAGAGGGAATGGAGTAGCCATTTTGATTTTGATGAAAGGGCTTCAAGGAAATAGGCTAAGTTTTACTCACAAGATCCTTTTTTATACCATGATGTGGATCACCCTAAATGCCTGTCATACGCAAGGCGAATATGTCTAAAGCATCTGCAGGCCGGATCAAGAATATTTTTGCAGTTGTCCATTGAAAATTTATTATTTGTACATTTTTAAGTATTAATCATAATATGCTAAATTTAATGTTTTAATGGTTTTGGATATCATGATTTATAAGAATATCAAAAGTTAAAATAATAGGGAGAAGATTCTAGAGGGTTATGACTCGGTAACTGGCTTTTAACCAATAAGGTTCGAGGGAATCGTCTGGTTAGGCCAACGACTTCTGTAGGCTACATACCATGCGAAGTCCAATTAGTTGTTAGAATTTTTAAGTTAGTCAACAGAGATGGTTGTAGTTGGCTTTGAGATTAATTCAAATTCAGTTAGTCTGTGCTTAGTTCTGTTTCAGATCAATTCTTAGAGGTAGTTAAAGTTCGAGTTAAAATCTCAATTAAGAAACAAAGTCATGGAAGCAAATTTAACAAACTAAAAAAAACATGTTGAACTGGTAAACGATATGCTTAAAAATTTCAAATTTCTCAGGTGCAGCATGAGTATTAAAGTGCACTATTTACACATCAATTTGTATCATTTTCCTTAAAATCTAGAAGACAGCAGAGAGAAGTAAGGTGAAAGATTTTATCAAGATATTAAAATTATTTAAAATTGTGGATTGATGGTTGACTTGACTTGATGATTGGGAAGTAAAAATAAATAAGTATATTTATTTATTATAAAAATAAATATACTAATTATTTTTACTTTTTTTTTTTTTTTTTTTTTTTGACTTATCACCCAAACCATTCTTCTCTTCTAAAATTATTTAATATCAAAGAACATGGGATACACACATGATGATAGATTATTGCTGGGGTTTAGAAAGGGATTGTTCCACTTTGTATAGATAACAATATTAGTATACACTAATAATATTTCTTATAAAATAATGATATTTTTATAATATAATAATATTTGTGTAATCTAATAATATAGATTTCATGTTCAAATAGATTTGATCCATGGATTTAACCTAATAAACATAAAACATACATTTCACTAAAACAACATATCTTAGAAATTTGACCTTCTAAACAAAAAGTAATGCCATATTTAGGGTATCTCCATCATATGAAATCAGCTCTAAATATCATGTCAGTAACACTACTGTTGGCTTGTATTATAATCATTTTCTGAAAATTATGACCAATAAAATGTACTGCAAATATCATATATATTATGTTTAACGTTTATATATTTTATGAAGAAATATAATATTATGTATAATCTTTTAATGAATTAATACATAATTTATAAAAGAATATGAGGAATACTTTTTTATACATTAACATTATTATTTTTTATTAATATCATACCACTCCCTTAAGAGAGCTGTTGGGCTGTCTGAAACATGCCCAATGAGAAGGGAAGATATGATATTTATTCAATAACACTGCCCTACAAAAATTTTTTTAACGTAAATTTTTGATGAAAACTGTTTCTCTCGACTAATTTTGGTGTGAGAAACTCAAATTTTCTGTCAGAATCCTTATATTAGCTACGGTTCAGCAGATGTGTATACCCAGTATTGAATACAAATAATTAAGTTATTGGAAGATACACTATAATTTTATAGGCTTTAAAAGTGGTTTATCATTAGTGAAACACTTTTACAACCCACATTAAGTTTCTTCTTTGATTGACGATTGTACTGATGTTCTGGCAAATCCCTCACAACGTTTTAACAGTAGTCTACAAGCATTGAAGTATTTCACCAACCTTGATATCTTCGTTCCATCGAGGATATATCTAGGTGAAATCGCTCACAATGTTTGTCACAGATCCACAATTTTCAGGAAAGAAGTAGAAATGAGAGTGAAGAAAATGAATCTTGAGTGCAGTGGCGGATCCAGGAATTTTCCCAGAGGGAGGAACACACCTCTACACCAGATGCTTCCCCCACTCCTACCGTTCCCCAACCACTACCCATCTCTCTTCACTCCTTAGCTGAGTTTAGCCACTCAAAAGTCCTCTTTAAATGATTTTTAAAAGCAACCTCTATTTTTATTTAAAGTAAATTTTGTCTACTTTACAGTGAGGTGATTGTTAATTACTTAAATTAAATAGTTTTTTGTTATCACTTCCTATTCAACAAAAACAGTGACTTAAATAAAACATCACAAATCTTTAATTCCCTATTTTCCTGCTGAAAATCGAACCATTGTTTATATAAACTTTTTTGTATTTATTGAGTTCTGCTATCACTCCTTTAAATATTTCCCTCCGCTTACGAGGCACCCAGTGTATGGGTTTAGACATGTAAAAAACTAAATTGCTAACACCGGTTACAAAGAGAAAACTTTTTGCAGCCAAAAAATCTAGAATCATCTGATTTTTTTTTCTTTCATGTATTACTACTAACGTGTGCATCAAAGCGAATAAAAGAAATCAAAGAACGCCAAATTGTGTGTAGAACGAGTACTTAAACTTAATAATTTGATAAAGTAATACGATCGATAACCACGGTCAATGAACGCTAAGTTTTACCAACATTGTCAAAATCTGAGAAAGATTACTATAAATGGTCCTGCAGTTTGGAAATGAGTACTCTAAGAAAAAAAAACTCAGAATAATTTCTGATTCTGATTCAAATCTAAGACCCAATAATTAGTGCCTTCTTTCATGAAAAAGTTTCTAACAGCAGCTATTTTAAGAAAAGAACAACACTTTCTAATGAGAAATATACAAATTATTATCCTGACCAGTTCTATGAATCGCATGAATTCTTCAAGCAGTCTATGGTAGCTAGAAGCTGAAATGCTTTTTTTAATAAATTTTCCTCCACTGTGTATTTCACCTGCGAGACTCAGTTCAGAGTCAATGGGAACAAACTGCGACAGGAGCACAAGCCTTCGCATCTTTCAGCGACCCAAAATCTACATCACTCTTTTCTTTAAATAGCTGGTTTTTTTTACTTTTACGGAATTTTTCGTCCACCATCCAGGGGGACGATCGCCCCCTTGCAGAATTCGCTTGTGCTGGTTACGATAATAATTTTTTTTATATATTACATTAGAAAATTCGTCTATTAGGATGAATTTTCCCAATATTTATCTTTTCATTAAACAGCTGTTTAAAATATTAGTTTTTGAAAGGAAGGTCCTTCGGAGGATATTTGGCCTAGTTAAGGAGAATAATGGTGAATGGAGAATTAGACGCAACCAAGAACTAGCTAACTTATACCGCTTGTCGTATGTGGTGAAATATAGCCTGATAACAAGGATGAGATGGGAGGACAAAGTTGTACGGATGGACGAAACCTCAATCCCAAAGAAGCTGTTGAGTATGGAGCCGGGTGGTAAAAGAAAAGAGGGCAGACCGAAATTGAGATGGAAAATGGAGTAAGTACTGATGCCATAATCCATTGAATCAGGAATTGATGGAGGCCTGAGAACAGGGAAACATGGAGGAAAATTCTTGAGGCAGCCAAGATTCAGTAATGGATAATTGAGCTTGGGATGATGTATGATATTGATCATATCAGAAAATTCATCTAAGAGGATGATTTTTTATTATATTTTTCTTTTCTTTAAATATCTGTTTTATGGATTTTCAGAATTATTCTTCTACTATCCAGAGGGGAGCACGCCTCTGGCAGAAATCATTAGTGCTAGTCACAATAATAACTTTTTTTGTATATCACATTAGAAAATTCCACTTCGAGGATAAATTTTTTCTATATTTCATTTTTCTTTAAATAAGTGTTATTTGGATTTTTTTTCCACCATCTAAGGGAGTAAAATGTAGGGCGCGCCCTGCCCTGGCAGAATTCGCTAGTGCTGTTCACGACAATAATTTTTTTTTTATATTACATTAGGAAATTCATCGTCTATGAGGATGGATTTTCTCTATATTTCTCTTTTCTTTAAATAGGTGCTTTTTGGAACTTTTTCAAATTTTTTCCAGCTCACAGGGGGAAGGGCGCGCCCCCTGGTTGGATCCACTAGTGCTTGAGTGACATATTACAACTGAGATCTCTGTTCTTCTCAAGGAGGGTTTGGACTAAGACAGCATAATTTCCCACTCTTTTGTTACCCAAAAAACCATTAACTAAAGCTGTAAATGCTTCCCAAGTTGCTCTTTTTTTAAACTGAAGAATATTCAGAAATTCCCCATCATTAAGAAGCTCACAAATTTGTGGACCAACAAATACATCCTCTTTAACCTTAGCTTCACTTAAGTGAAGAAATTTTCCTCTCAAGTACTTGAATGCTCTCCTGATTGGTCCATTACTTTGACTTAATTTTTCATTAGCCCTAACTTTATGTGTAGTGGAGGTGAAATGATTTTTTCAGGGCCCACAAGAGTGTTGTAGAGAACATTTTTTTGTCCAAGGGTCAGAACTTCTCTTTGAGGCCATTCTTTCCTGATGTAATGAGATGCTCTGTACTGACTGTCCCACTCACATAGGAAATAACAGTACTTAGTATATTCCTGTTGCATGCCTAGGAGAATTGCCAATGCTTTTAGGTCCCCACAGATTTGGCATTGGTAATTCTGGTATTTGATGAATTTTAGAAGGGTTTCCATGTTTTGATAAGTTACCTTCATGTGGACAGCAGGGCCTATAGGGAAGTAAATTGCCATCGTGCAACAGAACTGCCTTGAGGGATGGCTTTGATGAATCTATGAACAGCCTCCATTCAGAAGGGCTGTGATTGAGATGTAATGCTGTCATCAG